TTGAGGGGGGGGGGTTGCAAATTAAAAGTTTGTCCCCGGGCGCCGGTAAGGGTGTAACGCCTCTGCACTAGACTAGCGGTTGTGGCGTCACTCGAAAAATTTTAGCGATTGGTTATTGCTACACTGTTCAACATAAGTTAATTAAGGTAACCTTTACCTTTTAATTAATTGTAATATATTTGAAAGTTATAGTGAATGATTGTCCCTTTTGAATTTTTTTTTTTGCCTCAGACATGTATTTTACAGCGTCAGTTTGCCTTTCCATGTTCGCTTTAGTATTACAGTTTTCATCATCGTTTTGTGAGGACTGATACAGATTAACTATAGTAATGCTTCTTTCTTACATGTAGCCTTCTTAAATTCATTTAAGATGGGTTGCTTATAAAAAGAACTAATATAAAACGTCTAATTACAATCTTATTTTTAAACCTGAAAATGCAAATGTGTAGTTCAAAGGTTATTCAATGGATATTTTTTTCATAGTCGTGGTGGGTTGATGGGGTTTGAGCATTTAAGTAGAGCTGAAATAAATGTTTTAATTATTATAAGCAGCTGGTATGTTATGTGGAGTACAATGAGACACAATAGATCAAACATTCTGCCTTTTTAAACATGTGTATCTATTACAGTACTCTCACAAGCTTCCTTTTTAATTTTTTTTTTTTTTTTTTTTTTTTTTTTTTTTTAAACATATAAATTTTGTATAGTTAGTACAAACTGAATCGAGGGAATTTATTAAGCTATTGAAAAATATATAACAAATTAAAAAAAGTAATAGTAAAGTTTTTATCATTGGAACTAAATTAAGATAAAATTAATATCTATTTCAAAATAAATCAATTACCATAATATTGATTATTCTAAGATTGATATAAATAATGTATTGAATGACGAGAGCAACAATTGGTATACTTTGTAATTTACTTATTTTTTTTGCAAGTTTTTTTTTTAAAAAGTAGCAATTTGTAAGCAGGTAGTCTCCCCTGTAATTACAAAAAAAATATTAAAGGGAGTTAAAATATTGAATACTAGACCAGGGGTCGGCAACCTTTTGAGACGGAAGAGCCAAAAGTTATAATTTTCAAAATTATCCGGTTTTTAAAGAGCCACAAACATTTTTATGTCAATATGATCTTTGTTAAAGATTATATATATATATGTATATATATATATATATATATATATATATATATATATATATATATATATATATATATATATATATATATATATATATATATATATATATATATATACAATTTTAAATAAATAGCTTTAATTTAAATGTATGAAATAATTTCATTTGTTTCTGTGTTGAAACAAAGGGTCTACTATAAATGTCAGAGTGCTTGAACACCCTTCATTTTGTTTATAGTAATACTGAAGTAATTCATGTTAGTAGTAGCATTGGTTTCATCACGATATTTTTTGTTCTTCAGATTTTTTGTAATTAAGTAATTTACCGCTCTCCGTGTCTTTAACAAAAAAAAATAGTTGTTTTTTTTTCGAAACAAACCACTTCTTTAAGCAAGGCATAGGCTGAGTTTTCCTCTCAGTTTTACATTTAGCTCGTTTAGTTTCTTTATAATCTCCGCCAAGAAGTTGAATGTTGCAATTTGGGATAGACAGATAGAAAGTACATTGAAATATGGCGTTACTAAATATTCTAATGGAATAGCGAGTGTTTATTGTTTATGTTTATTATTTTATCGTTCATTACCGAGTGTTGCAGAACAATTTTTTTATTAAGCATAAAGCTGTAGAGCCGCAACTTGACATCAAAAGAGCCGCATGCGGCTCGCGAGCCGCAGGTTGCCGACCCCTGTACTAGACCCCTTACCTAACATTCTTTCAAATGACACATACGCAAGGGAGACAACATTTTAATTTGTTCTTAAATGTGGTTATATAAAAAAATAAAAAAATAAAGTACACAATATAATGTTAATTTAAAAAGAAAATGATTTCTAGTTACAATTGTAATTCAATAAAATTGTTTAAATAAAGATATAAAATTAATTTAAATTGTTAATTAAATTTAAATTAAAAGTTAAAACCTTAGCTTTTTATATAATAATTGAGTTAAAAGTAAAAATCGACCCTTTCTACATTGCTCACACAATCCAATGTTAAGGGTAAACTCAATTAATTTATTTTGCACCTAATATGATACATAACGACAACACTTGTCTAAATATCTGAAGTATAATAATTCCAACGTGCATTTGCACTTTTCATTGAAAATGCACATTTTAATGTAAATGCCTATTTCAATGAAAATGTATCGCTTGTATAAACAACTAGCTTTTCGATGTATTTTTTTTTAAAAATTGATCAATTATTATAACTATTTTTAGTATCAGCTTGAAGGGTAGTGATTGCAGAAGCGCTAGAATTTTTAGCAGAAATATATAATACGAGCCGACCCGCGGTGTATCTTACGCCGCTATTTAGTTGTTTTATTTTCTACTTTTCGGTAATTCATAATTTGTCAATTCGACAGTACCAATGCTGCCACTGAAAATATTTGCTTTAAAACACTAACCCCCCCCCCCCCCCTTTCCCCCACCCCTACCCTACACGCCCCCCACCCCCCGTGAAAGAAGCCTCCTCTTAGTTACCTCCTCTTAAGTTTAAAATAGTTTCAAACTAAATTTTCTGCCCCTAATAGCCGTCACTAAACCCGGATTGTAAACATTTAGCGTGAACCACAGCTCACCAGACCATGTGGGGGGTGGGGGCGGTAGTGATAGAGAGGAAGAGAGGGGACTGCAAGGAGCGCTTGCAGCTTGTTTTCTAACGTCTCCAAGAAGAGAATTATATATTTAGATTGTATCCCGGCGCCCGCCTTATACCAGTGTGTTTATATGTGTAACCGAGGGTGTGATTGATTTATGATTCTTGGTTGTTTGTGTGTGTTTCTCGTTTCCATCCTGCCGACGACGCCAAATGTGACAGACGTGTGACGCACCTTGATAGGTTGCGTTGTACACCTTCTCGCAGCACCTAGATGCGACAGAGGTGTCTTACCACCTGTCTTGTAGGTATTTGTCCACGACTTAGGACTTCTGTCGCTAGGCTGTGGACACCTTATTCGGCATTGACATATCCACCTCATCTAAAGAATCAAGAATCACCGACTGCAAGTTCGAGATTACAACACTTTATTTCTAAATGAATAATAACTGTTCCAAGAATAACATGAAAATCAACAGACCTCCAATGTCACTAGTCCACACACTGTATCACTCCGTATCTCACGTTCTACTGACACTGTTCTCTGCGAGTGCTGCACTCAAGGTACTCTATGAGCGAGCTGGTCACAATCCCCAATCAAACACGCCGTCTCTTAGTTGCACCTATGGCCACCACAGCATAGATAGATAAACCAAGTGTTTACCCACTAGTATTCTATTTACACACAAGGAAAAGAAACTAGTTTAACAATGTCTGATCTAATGTGTAGGGCAAAAAGTAAGGTATTAATAATAAAAGAGAAATGAACATCAAGATCCTGAAAGGAGTAAAAGGGTGAATACAAGTATATTTATAAAGATTGCAGTCTGTAAAGCTAGATATTACAACGGGGTTTATTTTCCTCTTGTAAAAAGGATTTCAGTAATGCATAATTTGTCAGTTGAATACTATTTGTTGAAATATGTTTTGTTGATATTATAAGTACAATGTTAGTAACCATCAGACCAGAAATCTAGTTAATGTAGGTTGGAGCAGGGGTCGATCTTTTTCCAGGTTTGTACCTTTTTGTTGACAGAAAGTGATTCGAAATTTTAGATGTTCGTTTGGTAAGGGGCTATAACCGATTTTATGATGGGACGGTGGAATATTTAAGCAGCTATTTCCCTTCTATAGTTCACAATGTTTTTTTTTTCTCTTCATAATGGTAGCTGTGTAAGCGATTATTTATATCAGTGTGGTGATGGGGATGTTTGACACGTGGATGTATTATATGGTAAAAGGGAAAGGTTACACGTCCAACACAAAATGAGGAAAGGGAGATAAGGAGTTAGGAAGGTTCTATTAGCCATTGCAAAAGGGTTTAAATTGCCTTTTATTTGTCATAAGAGTTTACAGTAATACATATTTAATAGTCTAATACAATTTATCAAATAAGTTTTGGTTCTATCATTAATACATACATAAATATAATAATCATAAGTTGGCAAAATAAATACAATAATACAAAAAGAGTTATATAAGTTGAAGTCATTGCAACTTGTCCTTACAACAGGTTATTCATTTCCTTCTCTTTGGCATAGCCTAGAGTTGCCGTATATATATATATATATATATATATATATATATATATATATATATATATATATATATATATATATATATATATATATCCATATATATATCCATATATACTTTAATGGAATATTACAATTTGTTAAGCTATATTTTGTAATTACATTTATACTTTTATGCCATTTAAATATGAAGGTTAAGCCCTAATACAAAACGGATGTGTCATTTTAAAATACATTTTAATTAACTGCTGCTTACAAACATTTTTTTTTAAATTTTGGTCTCCTTTCCAACGAAACGTTTTAGAAAAAGGGGTGATACAAGCGAGTTGCTTCTCGGAGGCGGTGACAAAACGAAATTACCTCCCATGTAGATTTTTTTTTTGGTTTTTTATTTGCAGGGGAAATAATGTAATTATAACTTGTTTTTTAAATTCTTGATTGTAATTATTTTTAAATAATGGTAACCAGGTTTCAATTGTATCAAAAATTCTTAATTTAAAAATGTATATAAATCTTAAAACATCAATTTCGCTTATCGTTTTAACTTTGTGTTTAAATATTTTTATTTGTAGGACTTTAACACCCTTAATTTTTTTTGAGTTGAATTTTAGAATAAATTTAAATTTTTCTTTGTATCATCACTTCTTCAAACAATAACAATTTATTAAAAATTTTGGATCACGATTGACAAAATGACACAGTACAATTATTTGTAGCATTAACTCATCTACGATGGCCATAGTCAAGGCTAAGGAACTTCGTGGCAAGAAGGAGGAAGAGCTTCTGAAACAGCTCGAAGAGCTAAAAAATGAACTGCAGACCTCTCGTGTTGCCAAAGTAATTGGTGGAGCTGCAGCTAAATCAGCTAAGATCTGCACTGTGCACAAATCAGTTGCTCGTGTCCTCACTGTCATCAAACAGACACATAAGGATAACCTACGTAAATTCTACCAGAAGGATAACCTAGGTAAAATCTACCGAATGAAGGCTCACAAACCCAAGGACCTGAAACAAAAGAAGACCAGGGCAATGAGACGTGCACTCACAACTTATGAACTCACCTGCAAGAGTAAAAAGGAATTACGAAAACAGGGTCTTTATCCAATTAGTAGATTCAATGTGCGTGCTGTTAATTGCAATATGTCTTTGGGCTATATTATATATATATATATATATATATATATATATATATATATATATATATATATATATATATATATATATAATATGTATATATACATGTATGTGTCTGTGTGTCTTAGTACACTGTCTCACTTAATTTTAAATTAACCATTTGATTTAACCTATTTTATTGCATATTCATCATGAGACAACAACCACACAGAAAACGGTTCAAACTCATCTGGACCGAAAGAATTTAGTTTTAAAAATCTCATTTTTACCCACCGAATGTTGTGAATACTCTAAAATTTTATTTGGCAAGTCGGTCAAAAGAATATTAATCATGGATAATTTATATTACAGACCTATGTGTAATGGTTTCCCGTGTTAGTTTTATTCTTAAGTTGTTTTTTTGTTTTGTTTTCTTGCATTCATATAATTAATTTTGAATTAATTCATGTTATACCTTAGTCATTCTTCGGGATGCTTTATTTAATAAAAAATAAAGAGAAGAGATTTCTTTTTGTACAAAACTATTTTAATTAGCTTTATCATCAACCCTATTCGACTCTTTAAAGATGACCATACAACCATGGACGTGGTTTCAAGGTTTGCCTTTTTTCAATCTTCAACTTATTTAGTTGGTTTTTTCCACACAACGGTATGTGTTAGTTACTGTAGAACAATCACTGCTGCAGCCGATCAGTTTTTTGTTTTCACAAAACCACTAGTCTATCTAGGTGCAGAAAGTTATTATTTTTGGTCTGATTTTGACCCCCCCCCCGACAAGGGCCTGTCCCCTCCTCCCTGCCGTATTACGGGGTCTGGCGGTATAGTAGTTTCACAACTGTAGTTAAAAATTACAATTTTGAAAAAAAACTGAGTACTCAACTAGCCACGGACACTAGAAGTGTTAATATTCGCAAAGAAATAACAACATCTGGTACATTATCTTCCAATTTTGGTTGTACTATATACAGAAGGACATCTGTTCGTGGCATATGCATAGGAAGCTTTTAGTTGAAGCTCATTGAAAAAATTATTAGCATCAATATCCATAATAGCTTTCAGCATAAACGATATTTCTAAATTTTGCAGTCAGTAGGTTTATATGCAGGAGCCTTTTTGTTGATATGGGATATATCATATAAAAGCAGCCAAGTAAACTATTATTTTGTTCTAATTGTTGGAACCTTTCTTTAAATAGACTGTATATCAATATCTAATATATACAGCATAGTAGACATCTGTTTTAAAATTCTGTTTAGGATCTTCTAGTGCCAACAATCAATTAAATTAAATCAATTTAATTTGAAAATCTGAAGTTTTCCGATGAGACTTACAAGCTATATCGAGCACTGAATCAGCATTGGAGTTAGATAATTATCTGAAATGCTCGAACTTAAAAGATTTATATTAAATACAATAATTAATTCATTGTAATCCCAGAGGTGCCGACTCAAAGGGGCGCCCAGCGAGGTAGATAATAATGTAAAAGGCTCATTATTGAATAATATGCAGTTGAAATAAAGAATGTTGACTGCTACTAGGCATTACGGACTTCTTTACATTTTTTATGCATCAATTGTATGACAGCAAAATAAAAAGGCAAGGTAACTGTAAAAAAGCGCCCAGACCTTTCCAAATGGGGATGGTTGGGGGCATTTTCACAAACGCGTATAGTTATATATAGGCCTAATTTGAGGAAGGGGCGCAAAATTGATAGTTCATCCTATGCACCAAAATAGATCTCTATGCCTTTAGGCCTATATATTATCATTTATTTAGTTTAAATAATATAATCAAGGTTATGAATTATTAGGTACTTTTTAAAAAAATAGCGATCACACATTTTTGCGCACCCCAAGGATAGCGCCGTAGGAGACCGCCTTGTTCGCCTTATAGGTAGCACCGGTCCTGACAACAGGTTATGTAAGATAAACTAGTAACATATTTTAATTAAGGAATCTATCTGGACTTTTGGACAGTTGATTGTGTAAGAAAATTGGTAACAACGTTACTTTGGTGGCTGTTGTCTAGAGTCAATCTGACTTCTTAAAGGTGCATATTTCCTTATACGAAGTAACCAAGGACGTAACAGCTGGGTAACTACAACTACAACCGCTTTGTTTGGATGGACACTAGGCATAACTTTGCTCTACTTTGACCATTGTCGTTGTCAACGCTAAAAATACCAGTTAGAACATAAACACCTTAGTTTTCGATAAAGAATTGTTATTTTATTATTGTTAAAAGTCGCTTAACGTAAGGTTTCGTGTTTGTCGATTTTGCATTATTTCCGGATCCCTTACAATCAGGGACAAAATTAAATTAAAAACTGTGTTCAGTATAGTTTAGTTACAGTGTGGACTTAGTTGGGAGCTAAAATGTCAATCGTCATTAAGCTCCCAATATTATATTATTTAAGACATTTTTCTCTAGGGGGTATATATTATACTAAATCTCATGAGTCGTTGTTGTTCTGTCAGACGCCGCTATCTTAATTAGACATGTCGAACAGTTATGCGGTATAGAACTAACTCATTAATTCAGTATTGAAATAAATAAAAATATAGCAAATATGTTAGTGGTGTCGATGTAAATATTCTTAAAGACATTTTTCTATAAATTTCCGTGGGTGGGAAGACAAGGGTTAAAATATATTTCGAACCTCCACTGCTCCCCACCGGAAGACGCATAAACTTCAACCAAAATTGATTATTTCAAATGCATTGTCAATATAAGTACATCATTATATCCGGTTTCAATAAGGATGCAATAGTCAAGAAATAATAACTAATAATATATAAACAATAATTTACAAAACACTTTTATTTTTAACTTGGATTAATAGAATTAGGATGTTGTGGTGATTGGGGATGTTATATTATTTCGTATAAATACAATACAACGCTATACATCATAGATCCTTATTGTGTATTTTTAATTTGGAAAACAATTGTTCTGACTTTAACTGTTTTACTCTCTCTGACCATTTCGGTTGACTTCAAAGAGAGGTTAAGGACAGTTATGAAAATATATGAATTGATAAAATAATTCTAAACATCATTTCAAAGACATATATTCTGTACAAAAAAAAAAAAAATTATTGTAAACGATATTTCCCAAACGGCTTTAATTTTTACAAATACAACTATATTTGTATTGGTTTCTCTATATTTTAAAAAGATGTATTCATAAATATAGTATAATTACATAGACTATTCATATTGAATAGTTAGCTTGTACTGTAACAATACAATACATATATTTAAAGCTAACAAAAATCAAGCAATTAAAACATCTTTATTTCAAGTAGAACTCAAACACTTGCAAAAATTATGATGTTATAGGTGTCTGTATCGTAATGTAAGGAAAGTTGTAAAGGTGTTACTGGTGTTGTAGGTATGTTTGCTCAGTAACCAAAGATCTGCTCAGTTGTACTCAGTCCCTGTCTAAACCTGTTTGTTCCACAACTCTAAACTTGTTCAGCTTGTGGCTTGGGTCTGTTAGGAATTTCTTTAGCAGGTTATTGTTGGGATGATTCCTAGGACGGATGGTACGGTAGTTTTGGCAGAATTGTCTGTCTTGGTGGGTCTATTGATAACATAGAAACAAGTAAAGTAGTTTAAGTTTGTTAATCATAAAATATATAGTACTGTACCGGCCAAAGTCAAATAACTTGTTTTATAAAATTGACTTATAGATTTCTACAATATTTTCTCTTGAATTGGAAACTACAGCGGTCTGTGTGTAACCAGTTACTTGAGTTTAGTGTGTAGCCGCCAATCTAAGTTTTTATTTTTAAAATTCTATAGGACTAAAATGCCAATCTTCTAGAAGGATGTATGATTTTTTAATTGTTTCAGATCAACCTTTCAGTATTCTGCTTCGCTAACTCCCATACTTCTAAGTACTAGATGCAATAACAATTACCTCTCCTACATAAATAGCACAAGCAACTAATAAAGGAGATACATAGTACAATTGGATACATTTAACATTAAAGGACTAACATGGGCGAATGATTAAAGCAATTAATATAATAAATATGTGATGAGATGGGTTGACCTAATACAATATACTTTCGATAATGCTTTGGGAGATGAATTGTTTACATAAGTAAAGGGAAAGAAACAATACTTTAACAATACTTCCTTGACTTTCGTGATTGGATAGATATTATTTCGCAGCTTCTTTATTCTGGCTTGCATCAATAGGGGAAAGAAACACTCCTTTCTTGAGTTACGTAGTATATCAATTTTTTCCCCTTAGACTGTAGCAGGGGTTGGCAACCCGCGGCTCGCGAGCCGCATGCGGCTCTTTTGATGTCAACATGCGGCTCTCCAGCTCTTTGCACACATATTAATGGTTATATAATTTCATTTTCACTGGGCGGTGGGGTACAAGTTTACCCTGCGTTCAGGTAGGGAGGCGTATAAGCCTGGCGAGAACCTAAGAACAGAAGCGACCGATGCACGGTAATCAAACCGATATCCAATCCAGTTAGTCGGGTTTGTCGTGTTGAGGCCTGCCTGGCTAATGGGAGACACCTCCTGAGACGGCGTTATCCGTAAAAAAAAGAGCTTCTAAAGTTGATTGGGATATTATATTATTTGATTAATAATTTTATTATTCTGGTGAAAAATGTGTATGTTTTTAAATGAATTAAAATTATTTTATATTTAACGCTATTTATTTTAAACAACAAATCAAATTTATTTAACTAATCCTATTTAAATACAAAATGTTGAAAAGTAATTGTTGGTGGCTCTTTAAAAACTGGGAAATTTTGTAAATTGTAACTTTTGGCTCTTCCCCCTCAAAAGGTTGCCGACCCCTGGACTGTAGGGACACAAATAAAGTGTATTTCCTCTTCTGCGCTAATAAAATTGTCGAGGTCTGACTAACACAATACTAGCTAAAAATATAGGGGCTTACGTATGTACATGGATCGGCATTAATTACAAAAAACATTCAAGTATTTTGTGATCATGATAATTTTA